TATTCTCTTGAACCCAAAGCCCTGGAACCTTAGCCATGCCTACCCCATTCTGCCCTGCCCAGGTTTTAGGCCTTTAATCAACCAATCAGGTATAATGTCTTAGGCAGGTTTACACAACAAGGTTAGGTTTATCCAGGAAGTAGCTAGATTTTGAGGACCAGGAATTAGCAAAAAAATACAAGCATCAAACCAACCCCCAACAGGTATGCTTACTTCTGTTTGTTCTAGAGCTTTCAGGTGTGTTGTTAAGTTGCCAGTATGAGAGAGCTCTCCAATTTTTTTCTTTTAAATGTAGGCACTTAGTACCATGAACTGCTTTCATTGTCCCATACATTTGGCTATGTTGTATATTCATTTTCATTTAGTCTTTAATTTCTTTCTTTTTTAAAACAATTTCTGTCTTGACCCATTTTTCTTTTTTTAATTAAATTTTTATTTTTTATATATTAATTACATTTTATTCACTTTGTATTCCAGCTGTAGTCCCCTTCCTCATTCCCTCCCCATCCCACCCTCCTTCCCTCATCTCCTCCCATGCCCTTCTCCAAGTCCACTGATAGGGAGGTCCTCCTCCCTTACCATCTGACTCTAGCTTATCAGGTCTGATCAGGACTGGTTGCATTGTCCTCCTCTGTTGCCTGGCAAGGCTGCTCCCCGCTCAGGGAGAGGTGATCAAAGAGCCAGCCACTGAATTCATGTCAAAGACAGTCCCTGTTCCCCTTACTAGGGTACCCACTTGGATACTGAGCTGCCATGAGCTACATCTGAGTAGGGGTTCTAGGTAATATCCATGAATGGTCCTCGGTCGGAGTATCGGTCTCAGAAAAGACTCCTGTTTCCAGATTTTTTGGTTCTGTTGCTCTCCTTGTGGAGCTCCTGTTCCCTCCAGGTCTTTCTATCTCCTCCTTCCTTCATAAGATTCCCTGCACTCTGCCCAAAGTTTGGCTGTGAGTCTCAGCATGTTTTGATACCCTACTGGGTAGAGTCTTTCAGAGGCCCTCTGTGATAGGCTCCTGTCCTGTTCCCTGTTGTTTTCCCTTTTCCGATGTCTGTCTCGTTTGCCTTTCTGAATGAAGATTGAACATCTTACCCAGGGTTCTCTTTCTTAATTAGCTTCCTTAGGTGTACAGATTAGTATATTTATCCTATACTATATGTTTGTTCAACCATGTTTGTAGCAGCTTTAATTGTAATAGCCAGAAGCTGGAAACAACTCATATGTCCCTCAGTTGAGGAATGGATGTAGAAATTGTGGTACATTTACACAGTGGAATACTACTCAGCAATTAAAAACAATGAAATCATGAAATTTGCAGGCGGTATCTAGAAAAGATCATCCTGAGTGAGGTATTGCAGAAGCAGAAAAACACACACGGTATATATTAACTTATAAGTGGATATTTGACCCATTTTTCATTCAGTGGAGAGTTGTTCAGTTTCTATAACTTTGTAAGCTTTCTGTTGTTGTGCTATCCAGCTTTAATCTGTGGTGGTCTGATAGGATGCAGGGGGCTTATTTCAATTTTCTTGTATCTATTGAGACTTGCTTTGTGTCCAAGTATATGGTCTTGTGCTTCATCTATGTCAGAATATTCGGAACCTGCTGCAGTAGGCTAGCTGACTCTGGTGGAGACATATTGCCCTCGCTTTTATTGATTGTGTTCTTTGTTTTTGTTTTGTTTTTTTGAGACAGAGTGTCTCTGTGTAACTTTCCTGGAACTTACTCTGTTGAGCAGGCTGGTAGAACTCATAGAGATCCACCTACCTCTGCCTCCTGAGTGCTGAGATTAAAGGTGTGTGCCAACACTGCCAGGCTTGGTAGTGTTCTTATGCTAGCATCTAGGCATCTGTGTTTGGGGTGGTTATAGGTCTAGCCGCTGGTTTCTTGGTTTATCTTTGTTGGGTAGGTATTTTGTTCCTTGGTTTCTGTTTCCTGTCTGGACTTTCAGAGAGCATGTTCGCTGTCTGTTGCCTATTTTATTGGCCTGCTCAGCTGAAGTGTTCACGGGAATGCTTGCTGATGTTGGAGGGTGGGGGGAAGGACAGGGGAAGATGGTTGTTGCAGTACTAGATGCAACTCCAAGTCTTCACCCTGGGGGATCAGGGAGTGGAGAAGGTCTGCGTGCAGCATACCTGGTCTTCTGGAGAAAAAGTGAATTTCATAGTGCGGGTTAAAAGGTTGGGAAAGCACTGTGTAAAAGGAGGTCTCAGACTGGCTATACTCAGTGAACTACCTTGGCCAACTTGCTCAAAAAGGATGAGCTGCAGTGCTGGGCCGTGAGTCCGCATGGGGTGATCTCCCTGCGGTGTTTGCTAACCACTGATTTGGAACTGAGATAGACCTTGATGCTTGTCGGAAAATTTTGTGCATGGGCTGGAAGGGTACAGTATCTGCTTCATCTCTTTTCCCGTGCAGACCCTTGAGGCTACCCAGGAAGGCAGAACCACACTACCACTGGGCCTGGGGCTAGTGCGGTGACTGTTAGACTGTCAGAGAGGTGACTGCCTCTGAAACTCTTGTTCCTGTCACGGGATCAGCTAGCACATATTGAGTTGCTCCCACACATGCCCCAAAGATGATACTCTTTAAGCTTAAAATGGATAGACTTCTGCACACTATTCCTGATTCCTTGACGTGCTCTGATTCATGGTTCATGATTCAGAGATAAAAGTGAAATCACTTCTGACAGTGGCACCTTCCCCTCCCGCCCCTGACTGGCAGTGATGGCAACTGCAGCATTTACAGCTGGAAAGTCTTCCAGTGTGTGCAGTGACGGGGGAGCTCTGTTTAGCCAAGGGGAAAATGACTGATAAGCCCGCTGAGGACCTCTGGGCTTTCTCGTAACTTCCCTCGGTGCTCAAAGTTACCCTGGCAAATCAGCATAGAAGGGGCCCTTTGTAGTTTTGGGTTTCTACATGCAATGTCAACGTGGCTCGTGGCAATCCCTGGTCACCCCGTGGCAGCCGTCCTCACTCTCCAGGCTTTGTCCCACCCACAA